GCCCCCAGGCCCCGGTCCCGGCCCCGGGGAAAGCGAGGTTCACGGAGTTCCCCCACCTCGGGAGGCAGGGTCGGGGCGGGTGTCTGTGCAGGGGGCCCAAGAGGTTTCGGCCTATGGCCGTGGGCGGTGAGTGAGGGGCTCAGCTGAGGGGGGCGGGTACCGCTTTCCCCCGGGTCCTGGCGTTGGGGATCCGGAGGCAAAAACCTTGGTGAGGAAATCGGCTCAAGGCAGGTTTGTACTGAGGGCGGGAGACTTGGGGACCCCTCAGGGGGATCGTGAGGGCAAGAAGAATATTCTCTGGTTGAGTTGAGTGTGTACGTGTGGTTTGCGGGTGTTATGGGGGAGGTGTGCAAAGGTGGATTCTGGTGAGGTGTTTAGGGAGCTGGTAGGTGTGAGTCATGGATGTGGCTGGAGTAGGAGAGGGGTGTGTGGCTCTGGGTATCTGGGGCAGGTGTACAAGGAAGGTGATGGGTGGGAACAGGGGAGAGTGTCCAGGCTGCATGTGAGGGAAGCCTGTGTATATATGTGTATCTGGGGGAATCTGATCCTGGGGGGATTAGGATGAAGGTGCAAGGAGTTATTTGGATGAGTGTGTGAGAAGCTTGGGGCTCCAGAGAGGTGTTTTCTGCGAGCTTATTTTTGGGGGGCAAGTATGCAAACAGTCCCTTGGGACATGAATGTGCACAGGAGGAGGGGGTGTTGGGCTTGCCTGGATGGGTACGTGTGGCAGGGGACTTGGGGATTGAGAATGTAAAGGCTTGGGGGCCACAGAGGGTGTGTGAACTACGCATAATTGGGGATGGGCGTGGGGGAGAGGGATGGGAGTGTGAACCCAGTATGGTTGTGAAGTTCATGGGCCAAGTAGGTGTGTAAGGCATGGTTTGGAATAAATGTGCAACAGGTATGTGGTTTTGACCTGAAGAGAGAGTAGCCCAGAACTGAATGTCCAGATTTCTGAGTTCTCGTCACAACTTGGACGAAACTCTTTTACTCTCTGGGCTTCAGTTTCACTATCTGTAAAATGGGTCTGAAGATCAGTCAGCTACCTAATCTCTGCCTGGAGCCTCTCCAAAGCCAGGAGTCAGGGGAAGGATGAAGGTGCGACTTTTACAACTTGTCTTTTTCTTTCCCCTACCCCCAGGAATTCCCTCTGGGAACCTCTCTCCAGCCATGGACAGCCCCAGTCTTCGAGAGCTCCAACAGCCTCTGCTGGTGGGTGTAGGCAGTGAGCCCCTTGTCCAGAAGCCTGGTGAGCCTGATCTGGGGCCTCCCTTTCGAGAGACAGCCTTTGCGGAATCGCTGAGGGGTTGGCAGTTTCTGCCACCATCTCTTCCCTCTGTGAGCGCTGGCCTAGGGGATCCAGGGCCCCCTGACCTTGAGGTAAGAGCAGCATCACTAAGGTGGGCTCCTTAGTGGGAGATAGGGGAGGGAGCTGGAGGGCAAACCCAGCTACGGCCAACATCTGGCAGGCTGGCAGCTGGAGTACCAGCCTTTGGCCTCCAGTCTCAGTTCCCAACTGTGTGTGGCCTTCCTTGGTTTCCAGTTGTGTTTCTTCCTATTCTCCTTCTCCCCCGGTTGCTTTACCTTTTTCTCTCCAGATTCATCTCATCCTTGTTCCCTTTGTCTCTTTTTCTCTTCCCTCTGACTTCTGACCCTCGTGTTCTCTATCTGTCCATCTCTCTCCTAAGCCAATGCATCTCTGTGCCTCTGTTGTCCCTGGTCTCTCTCTCTTTTTTTTCCAATTAATGTCACTTTTTATAATTTCTTATTCCTTGGACATATTGTCAAGCTTGCCTTTTATTTCCTAAACATGGTTTTCCGGTTGCTATTACTGTATAAGAAAACACTCCAAAACTTAGCAACTTAAAACAACAATAATCATTATCATGGCTCATGGTTTCCATGGGTCAGGAATTTGGGAAGGACTTGAGTGGCTCTGCCTCAGGGTCTTCCATGAGGTTGTGGTCAGCCAGTGGCTAGAGCTGGAACAGTGAGGGTCTGAAGTAGCTGGGGTCTGGTTGGATCTCTGTCTCTTGATGTAATCTCAGGGCTTCTTCATGAGTCTCCCCAGGTGGGCTGGTTTGGGCTCACAGCATGGCAGCTTCAGGGCAGTCAGACTTCTTGTGTGCCTCCAGCCTCCAGCATGAGTGTTTCAGCAAAACAGAAGCTGCTGACTACCTTTTCTGACTTATGCTTACAAGTCGTGTGGCATTACTTCCACCACATTCTATCAATTACAAGTGAGTCACAGCCTGCCCAGACTCGAGGAAAGTGGACATAGACCTCACCCCTTGATGGGAAGATTATCAGTCACACTGGAAGAAGAGCATGTGGGATGGGAGAGTGGTTGTGGCCATTTTTGGAAACACAGCCTGCCACATTGTGGCAGTAAGCTTCCCTTTGGTATATGTGTCTGATAATTCCATTAATTGAAGACTTTGAGGGCCTTATTACTTCTGCCAGTTCTCATCCATGGTTCTTGTGTGCCTAGTTATCTTTGTGTGCTGGTCATTGTATTTGAAACACTGTTTTTAGGAAAAATTACTTTGAGGCCTAGAATTAAAGTGCCTTCCTCCAAAGAGGATTTGGTTAACTTGTGTCAGCTGCAGGGCAGAAGGGGCCTTCTCTGTTCATTTGACCTCTCTGTTAAATTAACCTTGATTTTCACTTCAGTTTTTGGCCTTACAGTAACTCCTTAAAGTCTTGTGAGCTATTTGATGCAAAATTAAAACAAATTGTTTTTAACTTAGAACCTGTAGTTTCAGCTGACAGGTTTGTCCTAGTAATTTAGGCCGCCAGAGCTGGCACCCCTAATCTCCATCTTGTTACAGTTTCCTGTCCCCATTGGTTTCTGTCTTCACTTCAGAGATTTTTAATTCAGAGCTTTTAAGCAGTTATAGTATCCGTGATTGGACTTGTGAACTCCTTGGAACTGAACTCAAAGCTTTTGAGTGTGGGTGATGCTTTTCTCTGGAGACAAGGTCTAGAGCCTCCCCGCAGAGGGATCCAGGATTTAGACAAGTCAGGAGCCTATCTCTTGGAACATTTTTCTCTCTTGGTGTCTTTGGGGGCAGGGAAGATGGGTGGAGATGCCCACTTAGGCCGTCTCCTGCCCATAGGATGTGTCATCCAGTGACAGTGACTCGGACTGGGATGGGGGCGGCCTACTCTCCCCACTCCTACCCCACGACCACCTTGGCTTGGCTGTCTTCTCCATGCTGTGCTGTTTCTGGCCTGTGGGCATCGCCGCCTTCTGCCTGGCCCAGAAGGTCAGTCTGTGGGTGTGGGGTTGGGAGGGGACTGGATTAAAAAGAAAAATGCGTTAAAAATAAAACAAAACAGAGGAGTTATGCTTGCGAGGGGGCAGGTGGAGGGGGAGAGATGGAGATAAGTATTCATCATCTAAAAACATTCAGGGGTAAAATGAGGCATGTTTCACAGAAAGCAGCCCAGAGGGGTGGTTAAGAACCTGAGCTCAAATCCTAGGTCTGCCGCTCTCTGGTAAGGTTGTGGGCAAGCCATTCAACTTCTCTGTGCCTCATTTTCCTCATCCATAAAATGGGAATGAATAATTCCTGCCTCAGGTCCATTGTGAGGCTCAGAGTTAGAACTGTGGCATATGGTCATATATACATGTTTTTATTAGTCACGCAGTATTCCCCAGTGCCCAACTGTGCCCGACCCACAGTAGCTGCTCCATCGTTTTTGGAATAGATGAGTGAATACATGGGTGTGTTGGGTGGGGGAGGAGCTGGGCTGCGGGGATGCCTGAGTCACCGCTGCCCAACGCCTCCACAGACCAACAAGGCTTGGGCCAAGGGGGACGTCCAGGGGGCAGGGGCCGCCTCCCGCCGCGCCTTCCTGCTGGGGGTCCTGGCCGTCGGGCTGGGCGTGTGCACATACGCGGCCGCCCTGGTGACCCTGGCCGCCTACCTCGCCTCCCGGGACCCGCCCTAGTTGCCCCTGCGGCCC